TCCCCCGTGTCACAGGGTCCTGAGGGGCCTATGGAAGCTCCAGGGTGTTGTTCCCTGTCCCCTCCTGTCCCTGGTGTCACCTGGATCCTGAGGGAGCCATGGAAGCTCCAGGGTGCTGTTCTGTGTCCCCTCTCCCTGGTGTCACAGGGTCCTGAGTGGACACAGAAGCCCCAGGATGTTGTTCCATGTCCCCTCCTGTCCCCGGTGTCACAGGGTCCTGAGGGACCCATGGAAGCTCCAGGATGTTGTTCCTTGTCCCCTCCTGTCCCTGGTGTCACAGGGTCCTGAGGGGACCCATGGAAGCTCCAGGATGTTGTTCCATGTCCCAGGAACAAGGGACAGTGTCCCAGGGTCACCCACAGCCCCACACCCCAAACCCCCCCCAACTCAGAACTAACTTTTTCTTTTCCTCTTGGGATTTCACCCCCTCTTGTTCTCCTCCTGCTTCCAGAATGTGAAACAACAGGGACCAATCCTGACCAAGCACGGGAAGAACCCGGTGATGGAGCTGAACGAGAAGCGCCGCGGGCTCAAGTACGAGCTGATCTCGGAAACGGGCGGCAGCCACGACAAGCGCTTCGTCATGGAGGTGGGGGGACCTGCTCCTGCCCCCCGGGGCTGGGGAGGGGCTGGGGAGGGGCCTGGAGGCACAAAATGGCCCAAGGGTTTGGGTTGGAAGGGGGTTGTGGAGAAAGAAGGGTTTGGTGTTCAAAATGGTGGAAGGGTTTGGGTTGGAAGGGGGTTGTGAGGATGAGGAGGTTGAAGTTACAAGATGGTGGAAGGGTTTGGGTTGGGAGGGGCTTGTGAGGATGAGGAGGTTGAAGTTACAAAATGGTGGAAGGGTTTGGGTTGGGAGGGACTGGTGAGGATGAATTTAAGGTCAGAAAATGGTGGAAGGTTTTGGGTTGGAAGGGGCTGGTGAGAATGAAGGGGTTGAAGTTACAAAATGGTGGAAGGGTTTGGGTTGGGAGGGGGTTGTGGAGAAGGAAGAGTTTGGTGTTGAAATGGTGGAAGGGTTTGGGTTGGGAGGGGGTTGTGGAGAAAGAAGGGTTTAGTGTTCAAAGTGGTGGAAGGGTTTGGGTTGGAAGGGGTTGTGGAGAATGAAGAGTTTGGCATCAAAATGGTGGAAGGGTTTGGGTTGGGAGGGGGTTGTGGAGAAGGAAGAGTTTGGTGTTGAAATGGTGGAAGGGTTTGGGTTGGGAGGGACTGGTGAGGATGAATTTAAGGTCAGAAAATGGTGGGAGGGTTTGGGTTGGAAGGGGTTGTGGAGAAAGAAGAGTTTAGTGTTCAAAATGGTGGAAGGGTTTGTGTTGGAAGGAGCTTGTGAAGAGGTTGAAGTTAAAAGATGGTGGAAGGTTTTGGGTTGGAAAGGTCTTGTGGGGATGAAGAGGTTGAAGTTACAAGATGGTGGAAGGGTTTGGGTTGGGAGTGACTGGTGAAGGTGAAGAGGTTCAAGTCACAAAATGGTGGAAGGGTTTGGGTTGGAAGGGGCTTGTGAGGATGAATTTAAAGTAATAAAATGGTGGAAGGGTTTGGGTTGGAAGGGGCTGGTGAGGACGAAGAGGTTGAAGTCACAAGATGGTGGAAGGGTTTGGGTTGGAAAGGTCTTGAGGGGATTTGACAGGCAGGGACGTTTTCACTCGACCTGCTCCCATTTGACCTTCACCCCTCCCAACTTCTGGAGTTGTCCCTGAAAATGGGGAGATTTCTGATCCCGCTTGGATCCCTTTTCCAGGTGGAGGTGGATGGGCAGAAGTTCCAAGGAGCTGGTTCCAACAAGAAGGTGGCCAAAGCCTACGCGGCGCTGGCCGCGCTGGAGAAGTTGTTCCCGGACGCTCCCGTCGCCATTGAGCAGAACAAGAAGAAAAGAGCCCCTGTCCCAGCCAGGGGGGGGCCCAAATTCCCAGTGAAAGTGAGGACATTCCCAGGGAGAGGGAGGGAGGGAGTTCCCAGGGAGAGGGAGGGAGGTCCCAGGGAGAGGGAGGGAGGGAGGGAGTTCCCAGGGAGAGAGAGGGAGGGAGTTCCCAGGGAGAGAGAGGGAGGGAGTTCCCAGGGAGAGAGAGGGAGGGAGTTCCCAGGGAGAGGGAGGGAGGGAGTTCCCAGGGAGAGGGGAGGGAGTTCCCAGGGAGAGGGAGGGAAGGAGTTCCAAAGGAGAGGGAAG